TCTGAGTGGTAAAGCTGTAGCATGAGGCGGGGAGGGGCCGTAGTCAGCTAGATCAGGTCTGTCTGAGAGAAGATTCGAGACGGCAGCTCTCAAGCTTGCTCCCCCTGGAGACAGAATAGCAGCACAGGGCTGTGGTCCTTCCAGGAGGAAGCTAAGGCCAAGGAGGAGGACTGAGTCCCTGACGAGGAGGGCTGTGTGTAGAATCCCCAGTGTCAGGGGTCTATAGGTGGATGATAATCGTAAAATGCGGGTGCCCCCACCCCAAAGACCCCGGCAAGGGTTGAAGTCGCAACCCCAGCCTGCAGCCAGCACACCCACTGATGAGACTGCTGGGAAGTGGTGCGAGGCGACAAGGTGATCTGCTCCTCTGGGACCCTGTAAAATGTGGCACTACCTCTGGCAGTTGTGCCTGGCTCAGAGGCGTATATGAGGACAATAAAACGAAGATTTTGCCAACCAAAGGTCTCCGTTTCCTGAACTCTGATTACAAGTGACCGCAGCAGGGATTGAGGCCCGATAGCTCTTGGGGGTCACTAGCTGGACCTGGAGCCAGACCAGAGGTCCCAGTGCAAGAGGAGAGAAGGGTAAGGTGGGGCCCAGAGTGGGTGACTATGGCCTGACTCCACCTGGACACCAGCCACCTGAGCCACGCGCACCTCACCTCTTTTAGGACAGGCTTCAGTGTGCCGATCATGGAAAGCATGGGCTCCCTGTCGGCGCCATTCTCTCATATCGTAATACCTTTGGGCTGCTCTGGAAAACCAGGAGAAATCAAGGTTCCTTTTGGGGTCACCTCAGCTGCGCCCTCCATCCTGCTCTGGGTTCAAGGCCTCTAAGGAGAGATCAGGCGTGGGCCCCCCTGATTTTCCCACAGATGGGTCCCTTTGCGCCTAGTCTGAGGTAGATTCAGTTGTTCAACACCAGCGCACACGCAGAGCTGGCCCCAGGCCAGGCGTGGGCGTAGTGCTTAACATGCAGCCTGCTGGGCTCAGGGAGGTGCGGGACATGCCCGCGGTCACGGCCACTGAGTGGAGGAGCCAGCATCCATGCTCTGCTTTACGTCTCTAGCAGCTTTATTGAGATAAAACTTATAAACCGTACAATCCTCCCATTTAAAGTGTGCAGTCCCATGGTTTTCAGTATATTCAGAGTTGTGCACCCATCACCACAGTCAATTACAGTGTATTTTCATCACCCCAAAAAGAAATCCTGGACCTCCAGCGTGCACGCACGCGCACACCCGTGCACACCCGCGCTGTTCCCAGCCTGGCGCAGCCGCCGACCGTGTGTCTGTAGGTTGCACCGGGCGGACTTCGGTGCTGCTCTCACTGAGCGTGTTCTCACGGCTCATCCTAGTCGTCGCCTGCTTCAGCACTTCTCTCCTTTTTATGACTTAAGTATTGTCTGCTGGATGGAGGCACCACATCCTGCTTATCTTTTTGTCCACTGGGGGACGTCTGGCTTGTCACCACCCTTTGGCTATGATATAAACATTCGTGTACAAGTCATGTGGACACGTTTTCACTTCTGTTGGGTATCTATCTCGGAGTGCAACTGCTGGGTCACATGGTAACTGTGTTTAATAGCTTGAGAAACTGCCAGAATTTTCCAGAGTGGCTGCGCCATCTTATACTCCCACAGCAGTGTACGAAAGTTCTGTTTCCTCCACGTCAGTGGAAGTGAGGTGGTCCCTCACCGTGGTTTGAATTTGTATTTCTTGACGGTAAAGTCTGCCCCTCTCTGCCTCCCGTGGTCCCGTCATAGAACTTCACCTGGGCGTCCCCCACAGACACCCAGAGAAAGGTGCGGTGTAGTCCCCGCCCCCTCTCCTGCGGCCCAAGCCCTCCCCTCGCGTCACCTTCCTTCCGTAGACTTGCTGCCAGGGGGGCTTCCTGAGAAAGATCACAGGGGCCACAGGGTGGTCTCACACCAGGAGAACCAGGAGCCTCACCAGGGCTCCCTGTTGGCAATTCCTGGCACCCACGTCTGTTGGGGCAACTGGAGGGTGCTGGGTCCAGACACTTGATGAGCAGGACGCGGGCCTGCAGCTTTCTGATGGGGTGCACCAGGAGAACCAGGAGCCTCACCAGGGCTCCCTGTTGGCAATTCCTGGCACCCACGTCTGTCGGGGCAACTGGAGGGTGCTGGGTCCAGACACTTGATGAGCAGGACGCGGGCCTGCAGCTTTCTGATGGGGTGTGTGCACAGCTCCCTGCCGACGAGGTCAAAGCTGTGCTCCGGCTGCAGAGAAAACCGGGCTGGATGCCACTGGCACCACGCGCTCCTGTGGGCACGAGGCCCGTCTCTGTTGGGGTGTTTGGTCCTGAAGGGACACCTCAACCATCCACTCTGGGACCAAGCTCAGCTCCCCCCGACCATGTCAGCTCCTCATCAAAGGCCTCTCTAAGTCCATCAGCTGGAGACTTTGTCCCTGCACCCCAAATCTGTTCTCCCCTCTTCATGGGCTCATGGCTACCCAGCCAGCCTCTATTTCCCAGACTCCTTCACAGCTGAGTGTGGCTGGGACTAAAGGCAGAGAAGTGACTGAGGCCACTTCTGGGCCTGAATTTTAGGACTTGGGCATGGCCCCTCCACACCCCCTCTCCCGGTCCACAGGCTGCCCCACAGCACTGTCCAGCCAGCCCAGGGCCCTGGACTCTGCCAAGCACCTACCTACCTGTGTGGGACAGTTTCCATGAGAAGGAAATTCACTTGGACTACAGTGCTGAATGAGCACAGCCTGGCGTCCCCCAGCCCTCTGCTGGCCAGCACCACAGCCCTGACCACCCTGCCTGTTGTCCTGTCACATGGCTGGGTCTGTACGGTCCCACACGGTGACCATCAGCCACATGTGGCTACTGAGATGCGCTGTAGGTGTGAAACGCACACTGGATTTGGAAGACTTAGTACAAAAAATAATGTAGTCAAGTTTTATGTTGATTCCATCTTAAAATGATAACATCTTGGATACATTGAGTTAAACAAATATTACAATTGACTTCACTTCTTTTCTTTGTATTATTTTTAATATGGCTACTAGAAAATCTAAAATTATACGAGGCTCACATTCTACTTCCATTGGACTGTGCTACTACTGTATGTAGTCTGGGAACTCCCAAAGGGTAGGTGCTCCTAGAATTTTCTCTGGACCTGTATCTCTCACCACAGAAAGTGACAGAGGAAACGCTTGATGAAGGGGTGCTGCTAATTCAGGAAAGCTCCGATAAGGATTGACTCTGTTAAGTCACACCCAATCCTGCTACACCGTCATGATGAATATAAAATTCATATGAGCGCACACACGCACACACGCGCACACATGCACACGGCCACCTGGGCACAGCCAGCACAACTCCCTATCCTAGTTCTGCTCTGAAGCTCTCCCAGCCACCTCCTGCACCTCAGAGTGAAATGACCTTGGGGGCCTTCCCAGAAGCAGGGGTCCCATGTCTTCCCCAAGGCCTTGTGAACTCAGGAAAGAGGAGCCTGAAGATGTGCCACACACTCTGTCACACAGCATTCCCACATCTCACAGCAGTGGCTGCCACAAGGCACTGAGGGTGCTTGCTCGTGGGAGGGGCTTACTTGGTGCTGTGGTTTGAATGTCCCCCAGACTCACGTTGGAACTTAATCCCCAATGTGGCATTTGAAAGATGGGGCCTTTAAGAGGTGATTGGATCGTGAGGACTATGCGCTCGTGAATAGATCAATCCATCCATGGACTATTGGTTTGACAGTTTAATGGGTTATCAGGGATACTGGGCTTTCTAAGGAGAGCAAGTGAGCATGTTCGAGCCCTCTCTCCCTCCTCACCACATGACACCTGGGTCACCGTGGCACTCTGTAGAGACTTTCCCCCAAGAGGCAGCCCTTAGCAGATGCACCCCTCGACCTTGAACTTCCCAGCCTCCAAAACTCCAAGAAATAAATTTCATTTCTTTATAAATGACCCAGATTCAGGCATTCTGTTATACGCAACAGAAAAAAGACTAATATACTCCAGTACCCGCATTACTGTGCAGGTTAAAACAGTGCTTTACGGAGGAGGGAGTCAGGATCAAAAAGGCCAAGTGTGTCACAGTCAACAGCCAGCAGGTGGCACCAGGCCTCACACTCGGGCAGGGCCACTCCGCCGCGGTGCTGCTCTCCGCCTGGCCTGGGGCTCTCGGGCTGGGGATCAGGCAGGCCCTCAACTTCATTCCAGGCTGGTCCCCAAGGCAAGAGCTGATACATCTCCAGTCATGTCTGCAGATGTGAAAGTACAACACAAGTCTGCGTTTTTGCAGCAGTTTCCAAAAGACGACAGCATGAGGGTGTCAGGGGGCCCGTGTGAGCGGCCGGCCGCTGGGGGGGCCCGTCTCTCCCTTTCCGTCTTGTCTTTGTTCCCCTCTCTTCCTTCACGTCTCTTTTTAGCTTCTTTTACCTTCATTTCATGATCCACTTCTTTTTTTAAGTAATTAAGGTATGACTTACAGCCGAGTCCACAGACTGAAGTGTCTGCTCACAATGGCCTTTTACACAATGACACATTCTTTTACCTTCATTTCATGATCCACTTCTTTTTTTAAGTAATTAAGGTATGACTTACAGCTGAGTCCACAGACTGAAGTGTCTGCTCACAATGGCCTTTTACACAATGACACAGCCGTGTCACCATGACCCAGATCAAGGCACAGAACATGACCAGCACCTGGCAGGCGCCCTTGCCTTGAACTCCCTCCCAGGGGCCCTCTCCAAGGAGACCATTATCGTGACTTCTGTCCTCACAGATTAATTTTGCCTCTTTGTGAGCTTCATGTGTAGAATCTACGTTTGTCTCTGGCTTCTTTCACTGCATAAATGTGCCTGTGAGGCCCCGCCATGTTGGTGCATGTAGAACAGTTCATTTCTTCATTACCTTGCTATTCCACTGTGTGACTGTAACACAATTTATGCATTCTGTTGCTGGTGGACACCTGCATCATTTCCACGGGGGGCTGTTTATGCATAACGCTGCTATGAGCTTTCTCACGTGTCTTTTGGTGGACACAGCACACGTTTCTTCTGGGTGTATATCCAGCAGTGAAACGACTGGGGCACAGGGCTCGCACGTGTTTCACTAAGCAGTTACCCAGAAGGGCTGTGCCCTTTACACCTCCTCCTGCAGCCTGCGGAGGGCCTGGCACTGCGCATCCTCATTAAGACATCCTGCTCATTTCAGCTATTCTGCTGGGGGTGGAGAGGTATCTCGCTGGGGTTTTGATGTGCATTTTCCTGGTAACTAATGATGCTGCGCATCTTTCATGTACTTACTGGCCATCTGGATAGACTCTTTCACGAAGTGCCTGTTTTTAAAAATGAGGTTGTTAGTCTTTTTCTTACTAATTTGTCGTTCTATATATAGTCTGGATACGAGCCCTTTTTTTTTTTTTGAGACCGGCCGCACTGCGCTCAGCCAGTGAGTGCACAGTGCACGGCCATCCCTATATAGGATCCGAACCCGCAGCGGCCGGAGTGCTGCTGCACTCCCAGCAACGCACTCTCCCGAGTGCGCCACGGGCTCGGCCCTGGATACGAGCCCTTTGACAGACCTGTGCATTCAAATACCTTCTCTCAGTCTGTGGCTTGCCTTTTCTCTTAATACTGTCTTGCGCTGAGCAGAAATTCTGAATTTTTTTTTTTTCCTTTTTTGTCTTTTTTACTGACCGGTAACGGGATTGCAAACCTCGGTATCGTGCCCGCACCGCGCTCAGCCAGTGAGCGGGAACCGGTCTCCACATGGGATCCGAACCCTCGGCGGGAGCGCCGCCACGCTCCCAAGCGGCGCACTCTCCAGTGTGCCACCAGGCCGGCCCAGAAATTCTGAATTTTAATAAAGCCCTATTTATCAATATTTTCATTAATTTATGGTGTGTGTGTGTTCTACTTAAAATATATTTGTCTATTCTAAGCTCATGAAGATGTTCTCTGTTTTCTTCTAGAACCTTTACTACTTTGCCTTTCATATTTTGATCTACGTTCCATCTCAAATTAGTTTTTGTGCATAGTGTGAGGCAGGGATCGAGGATCAGATTTTCCATATGGACAATGCATTATTCAACCTCCATTGAATTGAGGTGGCACCTTTATCACAAATCAGGTGATCCTCATTCATCATTTTTACAATTGAATTCCCAAAGTATTCCATAGACTCAATGTCACCCCAATATAATTTTTAACAGAAATTGATAGTTCTAAACTTCATTTGAAAGTGAAAATATGCAAGAGTAGTCAAAGAAAATTTGTTAAAAAAAAAAAAAAAAAAGAGATTAGGCTTGTTTTACTAAATGCCAAAACTTATCAGAAAGAAATAGGAATGAAAAAGGGTGGTATGGCTCAGAAATTGACAAAGAGATCAAAGGAACAGAATAAAGAGGGTGTGGGGACTGACCCATTTTGGAATTTGTATTCTCTTTAGTTTAGTTTATGTCTCAAGGGAAGTCTTCAAATCAGTGGGAAGACTTCTGCTTCTGGCATTATGGTTGACCAGCTCCTGCTGCAGAACATGCTCCCATGTCCCGAAGGAGAGGCAAGGGGCATCTCCAAACGCCCTCAGAAACAGACAAACCGAACCTA